GTTTACTAAAAAAAAAAAAAAAAAAAAAAAAAAAAAAGAGAGAGAACGGTCTGAGTATGACGGTCTGATCGCGGAGCACTGTGCCCCTTTCCAGCTACCTTAAACACCTTGGCTGTTCCCATGAACTCAAATTCTGCCCATCACGTCCTGTTTGGTTAACTTAAATGTATATCAGATAGGGTTGAGTATGACCTGTTACCCCTGTCCACCCCCTCCGCCCCATCACCATGCACCCGTGCCTTTTGTAGTAATATCCCCTATCCAGTAGAAACGGTAATTTTTAATATGATCATTTAATTGCCACCTTTGTATTATACTTACGTTACATTGAAATTCAACAAATCTAAAAAGGAACCAGAAAATACTGCATCACTTGCCGAGTTTGTTTGTGCTTCCCTCGCCTTTGAACGCCTTTGTTTTTTCTGATTAAAAATATTTCGGGACTCTTGATTGCAATTTTGTAGGTCTCAGAGTGCAATTTTGGGGAAGGGACAACCGAATGATATTGTTTTGTCTAGTGGGTATGGGCGTCCTGCTGTGCTACAATCGATCCTGCTATATCATGACTAGGATTATTTTGGATCCTAGATCATGACTAAAAATTGGTATTTTAACTGATACACCATCCCTGGCCGTTTCCAACATATTAGGTTATATGACAGTTCGGACTTGTAGCTAATGCCATAAAACGACTACATCTGTATATCGCTTATACAAAACAAAACTGAAGGCCTACTAGTTGACAAAAAGAGTAAACATTACGTCGCCTAGTGACAAAATTTTTACGTAAACTGTACAGGATTTTTCAAGCAGTTGTAAATCCAAGAGTTCCCGTCTTCAGGAAGTCTATGTACAGGTAATATGAATGCTTTGCAATTGGTTCTTAAGTTGATCACGGAATTTTGCTTCATATGACTGCCGCTTTATTCCAGACACATCAAGTCACAGTTCGAGTGATTGCCTTAGTGCCCCCAGTCACCCTGCATTTTAGAGATAATTGGAAATTTACCTCTATCTGATCACCGAAACACAATAGATATACCTAGAGATGATAGACCTGGGTTTTCAGAAACTCTCTGAAACTAAGGGTGCCCCCAGCCTCTGCCGCTCACTTTCAGCACCGAAAAATGCCGAATTGTTTCGATTGTATACACAGCACGTCTAGGCTTGAAAGCAAACATATATTTGCATTTTAGATTTCTCTTTGGCTTGAATGGATTGCCTTGCAGACATATGCTTACATTAGCTTCAAGCATATTTTCAAATGAACAAGGCCATTTGGTTCCCTAGGCGAAAACGGAAACAACAACAATAAAAATCACGACTCTGTGCTTCTGCATATATAACCAAAACATTTTCTACTCACGGATTTCAAGTGTTGAGTTGATAAGCCATGGCGTATTTTCTATCAAACGCCAACCTTTTAGTAAGCATTGCTGAAGAAATGAAATACGCCTAATTTTCTTTATCCACGCGGTGCCTGTCCTTCTGTAATCAAGGCCAATGTGTGCAAAAATCTCCGTATTTGATATTTTGTGTTACGAAACTTGTTTATGTGACCGAATGCTGGGATAGATAACCTATGTAACTAGCGAGCAGAAGAAACACGTTATCAGGTAATGTTGATATTGTATTGTATATAGTTTTTACCATACAGCAAACCACATCAGATACCTATAACCTGAAATACAGAATCTACGGGAAATTTTATGGCATCCTGTACAAGAACATATTCACATATGAACGACCTTGCCAACGGAAAAAGCAGTAAATTTTTCTACCTTTGGTATTTTAGAGAAGACATACATTGTACTACCTTTAATTTGAATATTTCGTTTTAACGATATGTTATTCACCAATGGAAGTCATCTAGTCAGTTTTAGTAAAACAATTCAACATTCAATTAGTATCTATAACTTGTACGTGATCATGTCAAGGTACGCCCGACTTGACATAATTACCCACGATTGGTTAAATCATATTGTCCATAATATATTTCAGATGGGACATAAAAAAGCCAGTTACCACGGTATTAAACATATGGCGCAGAAAACAGCTTCTGCGAGTCTGGCTTATCCTGTCGTGAAGAGCACCCTGGCAGTTAATTTTCTATTTTTGTGATGAATTTCAAAGGAATGAATGATTTAGCCTATAATCGCTGTTTAACCTGGAATCTATAAAACAGTGATTTGCAAGGAATCATTGGCACTGTATGTGTTTGGAATTAAAGAGGATCCTCGGAAATAAAGGAGACTTGTAAAGTTGTGAGTATCTCAAATTGAAATACCAACCTCAGGAGAGAGAGAGACGCAAAGTTGACTGCTGTTCAAACGAAGACTGTCTACTCAAATATTGGCTCATAAACACGACAGAATTGCTGAGTTTATTTCACGAAATACAACATTTCCAGTTTGTGTCATTTAGTCCGTTCTTGAAAGTGATGATGGCATTTTATGCGGCTAGTCAGATTTGTTAGTTAAGTCAAAGTCATTAAATAAATTGGAAGTAATGGAAAAGAAAAAAGAGCAATAAATGCGAAAAAGATATGTCGAGTTCATTGCTGTCTCTTTTACTCGTTTTATCACTGACTGGAGGACTTCCTCTTTAGCTTATACACTCTTGCTTACCCATACACACACAGTACCTATTCAATAGCCACGATGTTTTTGTTTTATATTTGTCTGTTTTCACATAATTTTTAATATTATTTTTTATGCCGTATTATAAAGATAATACCTGCCATCAAAGAAACTAACGTTTTGCGTCGTACATTTAATGTCATACTTTTACATGTAGCTTAACGCCGTACTTGTAGATTGTTTAAACCCCGTAACAGCATATACTTAATGTCGTTTTAACATAATATTCTAGAGCATATGCCATGTCCATTCTTTTCAGGCCTGGTAAGTTGCTTGTATTTATCAACTTGAACTGGAGTTCGCGGATGTTTGAATTCCCCTTCATTATTGTCAGCCTTGCATGTCTAAAGATACAAAACCCAAACGTTTACTAGACGTATCATTTTTTTACCAGACACGTTTTTATAATATTTATTATCTTCCTCATCTCCCCAGGCCCGGCTGGAACACAAAGGATCATATCGCCCAAGCTATGGCGCGCTCTTATTCAGATATGGCAGACGACGAGGCCCAGCATCTTGTGTAGCGTTTAACAACTTGCTTACTGCGCACTAGTACTCTGCATGAACAAAAGGTGGCGTTGGTCCTCAGGTTTCAAATTGTTATTTTGCGGTAGAACTCATTGTAACATTGCCTGCGGTCTCTTGAAGATGAGAGTTGAATTTTTTGAAGAGTTTAAATGTATTGCAGAACACATATATATTCATTTGCTTGGGTTCCAGCAGTTTTGAATATAGTTTTAGTGCTATAATTTTTTAAATCTCTGTATATAATAATATTTAAATAACGATATATTATTTATATTGAAACATGTATAGGCCTTTCACATGTTAATCTTTATTGATGAAAAACTTTAACTGAGTTGAAATAGATTTCTGTATATCTGAATTGCATGTCTTGAATATTTTATGGCTTTGTAGATGTGTTATATATATGTGAACATTAGGCCTACGCATGTCATTTTGTGCAGGCATAGCTAGAGCTACTACATAGACCAAGTGCTTTATTTTTTAATAAATTGACTAATGTATATATTCAGCATTATACTTTCAATAATATTTATAATTTATTCATATTTATTCTCATATGAACTGTTCTGCATAGTATCAATAAACATATGGGATGATTATTATACCTCGCCCTTGTTCCTTTTTTTTTCTTCTGCAGAGCAGAACTAGTTTTTTTTTATTATAACTAATTTTTCTATGAACAAATTTGGCAGTATTGACAGTCTTTGTTTTCGACCTTAAATGGATACTGTACGCGTTTGAAAAAATCCTCAAAATCATATGTAAATGTATACATATCTTTCCCTATTCAGACCTTAAAATCTTTAAAAACCCCTCGGATAAAAGTAACTAACGTCGATATTTCCTTCTGAAGTGCACAGAAAGACATGGCATTCTAACTGACTGGCCAATCATTGAACAAAAAAATTAGTAAAACATCGAATCTAAATGCAGGAACGGCTTGAGCAACGATTTGCTAGTAGGAAAATTTTTTTTTTTTTTCGAGGAAATTTCATTTTTGCTGGTAAACCCCACATAGTGTACCTTTTACATGGTTTTCCTTGCATTTTCCATCTTTTTTAATTAATGATTAGTCTTAATCATATTGAGCAAGGAATATTTCGATATTAAAGATGAAATTTTCAGTAATGATCTCTAAATTACAAAGGTATAGCCTATCCAATACCAGTCAGAAAATTACTCTGTATATACCCAAATTGGAGCTGTTAATTAGAAATTCACCAATCCACGTCTCCATTACAAGAAAAACTAAAAACAAACTGGAAACACAAGTCTTCGAAATAGCGTGTATTTTTAAATCGGGTGCGGCTCGCTCCCGGACAGGTAGAACTTCTCTAACACAATCATGAGCCTGCGATCCACCTGACCTGTTATTGTTATTCAAATTATGCCAACTGCAAGTGACAAGTATTCATTCAGGGAGCCATGATGTTAGGCAAAGATTTCAGGACGAAATGGCGATTCTCCTGGATAAAATATGGTGCCTGGTGTGTTCAAAGCTACCCGCTCTTCCCGGCCACAACAACAACGTGTAAGTACATGTACTTAGTAGTCTACAGTTTGCAGGTCGATTGACCAGCTTGTCTCGTTACTGGCAGAAATACGTGAGCACAAAACTTTTAAATAAGATGGAGGATTTCAAAATTGTATTATGTGCCAGGGTGTCTTTTTACAGTACAAATGTACATGTAACCCCCCCAAGTTTTGGCAGTTTATCTGTTTAAGCTGAGAGACAGCGGGAATGCCCAGTTCGATTTGTATTTCGTAAATATTGTGACGATATCTAGTCTTGAAATATTAAAATTTTGATATATATAGACTCTTATATGGAAATTGCGTAAACAGCAGAAACACAAGGTATTCACTATATATATGAAAGAGAACAAATACTGCATTGAATTAAAACCGTGGAATAAATGATTTCTCGTGTGTCTAAAATTCTCATTTTAAATATGTTATTTCAGTCACCAGTGCATTCAAGAGACGAAGATATGTCCCCATGGAGAAGTTACAACAGTCAAAATGCACCTTTTGATTTCAATAATCCTGAGTGTGGACATTTGAAAGAAGCCTGTAATCCAACAGTTAAAATTGATATGTTTCTTAACATTTTTGTGTTATTAAGGGTTTACTTGCAAATTATGTACGTGCCTATTGAATATGTATGAATTATAGTGACCGTTTGCCTCAGATTTCAGCCTTGAATAGTACTAGGGCAAGTAGGCATTGCTTAGCATGTAAGGCCAAATACCGAGGCAAATGACTACACGGTCCCTACATTTGTAACATATTGTCCCACCAAAACGTAGAAAGAACTTTACCAGTTTTGTTTAATTTTGGGTCTTCGGCGACTCCTAACGTGAGAGAATGCGCTAAATTCCAAAACAGTTTTGGTTATTTAAAAATCTGTATGCTAGAACACTTTGTTTTGCTTTGGATTTAACTGTGTTAGTGCAAGTTGTCTTTTTCACTTAAAAATAGGTATGGCATAATATTAGGAAATGGTAAATAAAGGTGAGACGGTACACAAACAGTACACCACTGAGAGTAAATGTGTGTATAATTTTGTAGTCACCCCTGGCAAACCTTTATCAGAAAGTTACTATTTTGTAAGCGTCATTTTGTACTTTTTCCAATATGATTTTTCACTTTTTCTGTAACTTTGAACATTTTGTCAGTCTTGTTCGTGCTCTTCAAAGTGTATGGCTACATTGTCCCATTTAAGCTTCTGTATCAACATATGCTATCTTTATTTGACATATTTAACGTTTATACATGTATTTCACAATCCTTTAAAAACTTTGAACTATAGGTTGCGAATTTTATTATTATTATTATTATTATTATTATTATTATTAAGTCTGCAATTTTTGGCTGTCTAAATACAGAACCATGACCACCAGTGTCCTTTCCATCATAACGAGATATATATATATATATATATAGTTTGGAGGAGTGTGCACATTAATTTTTCTTGCATTACACTGGGAGGTGGGATTCTTACGATTACTATGAATAAAGTCAGATGTTTGGATTGTCGTACATTGAAGTAACAAATTTAGTGCCGTTATCTTGATATTGTGTAATTTGAGCCGTGCTTTAATAATATTATTGAAGTTAAACGAATAAAGCCTATTCATTACTTTCAACTTCTTTATTGTTTAATTAATCAGGTTTCATATTTTTCTCTGTAGTGTTTATCTTAGTAAAATTTAAAATAACAATAAAAAAAGTTTTACCCGATTTTGTCCATTTCGATCTCCTATTCTTATTTCTTTAACTTTAGAATCAGTGGTGGTGCCCACTGAGCCATCAGCCCCAAAGAATTTCGTGCAATTTTAACGAAACCTTTATAGTCAATGAGGTCCAATTCTTTTTTCTACAAAATGAATGTTCCATGGGACTCGATCCTGTAACCTTCTGGTTCGTAGTCTGCAACGTTACCAGTTGCTCTATTCACCCAACCACCCACCCTAAACTTTGCATCTTCCCTTTATAGTTATGGGACTAAAACTCTTTTTTTTTTCACAAAAATGTGTCGTGTTTAGGAATCGATCCTGTAACCTTCTGGTTTGCAGTCAGCAACGTTACCAGTTGCTCTATTCACCCAACCTCCCACCCTAAACTTTGTTTCTCACCTTTATAGTTATGGTACGAATACTCGTTTTTTAAAACAAAAATTTACCATATTTGGGAATCAATACTGCAACTTCAGGTTCTCAGTCTGACATGTCTATTCACCCGGTAGCCCACCCAAATTTTCACCCCGCGTTTTTAGTTCTTATCGGCGACTTGACTTTTTTGGACAAATTTTATCAAAATTTCTTTACACAAGATTTTTTGTTCTGTTCGATTCTAGTGTGATCTGAACGTAGAAGGTACGGATAAAATTAACGTTTGGGCAAAATTTATTTTAAAAAATTATGAGTCGGGATTAAAAGATTAAAAAATTCAAATGAACAATGAACTGAACTGAAATAAACAATGCAACGTAGTTAAGCAGTTTCAAGAAATAATTATTTTAAAGGTAATATCAGTCAACAGTATAGCTAGGATTTTTTCTATTTTAGAAAGCGTTTGGGGTTACGACTATTAAAACCAAAAGACTCGGTAAATTTTATGTAACTGCTGAATGATAGATGAAACGCAATTGCTTGTTCAAAATTTGGAGGCATTTTTGGGTAAAATAAATAAAGCAATTTTACAATACGACGACAAGTCGACCACGTGTATACAGATGATGAAAGAATTCAATATTTTAAACAAATTTATTCACATTACAATTATATAAACCAATACAGATAACAGTAATGTTTTTCTCAAGAAGAATCTATTTACTGCTATGTACTATATGGTATGAATCTAGTCACACGAAGCCATGTGAAGTAATTGATTCTTAGGACAAAAAATGAGATTGCATGGATGGTGTAATGACTCGGTTGAACGACAATAATAGCACAGTTTCACTTACATGTAAGTCAGTCACAATTCTTTTTATCACTAGTTTCTTGGTGTCGCATATCCCGACTATCATAAATACGCCTGTCTTCCATTTACTGTACAACATCAACATTATGCTACTACCGCGTTCGTTGTAAGCCCCTCCACTTCAATTCCAACCTTCAACAGTTCCACAAAGTGTCATTATCCATACAAAAAGCAAAAGACAAAGATGAACTGTTCCCAACCTGGTGGAAATGACCATCTTTTTCGTCAGTGGCCACGTGGTTGTTCGCTCCCTATTGCATCAAGATTTATCACCCGTTTTATTCCCCAGATCAAATGACATCCGCACGAAATGTCTTGGACACAAACATCTTCCATACAAGTAAAACAAATGTCTTATATCCTCAGTATCGCTGCCGTCTTCACCGTCCCATGCTGCCAAAGGAATATCTGTCTGTACTTTTCAACTTACAGTATGGATGGTAATTATTCTAACATCTCTGATAACTTGTCATCCAACCTTGGCGTCACATAACATTCCATTCAGGCTTCCCCCACACAGAGTCAGCAGGTCGGTGATCCGACTAAAAATCTCTCTGTGTCATTGGCCAGTTTACAGCTGTCACTGTTCAGATTTACGTCACATTTGCCGGACAGCTTGTTTTATTGGAAACAGCCTCACGCACGCGCACTGAATTAAAAAAGTATATATCCTTAAGCATATCCTTAAGAGGCTTCCTTATAATTTCCTATAAATGTTGACAAAGCGGTCTTCCGCACACATGCAAATACTGCTGCCCCTTTTTCTGGCATACCTTTACCCATGGACAAAATTACCAATTTTGCCCAGGCCTTACCTAACCACAAACAGGGATATATTTTTTCAGTCTTCTGACTGTTAAGTTTATGTGGTCCATCCTGAATATTACCATTCTACGTAGTATCTTTATTGGCTTTAAGTGACACTCCGTTATTTGGTATCCAAGCGAATGCAGAAGTAGGTAAACATACAAGGAAATATCACTTCTTGGTATATGGACCACTGGGAACAATAGTAATAGTCTCAAAGCGGTCTAATAGCTGTCAAACGTTGGTTTTAGCGAATGTTTAGGGAGGGTGCGGCCATATGAGGCGACTCTGATTAGGGGTATGGTTTTAAAAGGTTAATCATTTCCACATAAAATATTCAACTAGGCAAAGGTGTTTTATGGCGTTTGTGGCTAGGACTCGGGTAACATAAAGTTACAGGAGCGTTCATGAAAGTAACGTTATTTTAAAACTATCAAGGAAAAGGATGCTACTTGGACTGCGACGTATAATTACCACGAATAGGGAAAGTTGCATATTAAAACCTTAATGTACTGTGGGGTTACCTTATAAAAGGACGGTGTAGTCCGCACCAACGCATAAAATCACTCAAGATGAAAACAACAGGCATTCAAGCGTTCATTATTTGTGTGACACTAGTCTTTATTGTAGAAGGTAATGTATTTTATTTTAATGAAGGAGGTGAGATCTAGTGGTCGTTTCATTGGCATCACCAACCTGCAGAATTAACACATATTGATGTATTTGTTCATAACGGCTGCACTGATGTAAGATGTAGGATCTAAACAAAGAATTTGCACTAATACCGTGGTTGACTTCATGATAAACTGTGGAGAAAACGAGTCGCCTAAAATTTAAGAAAACTCATGAAGGATGCAAAAACGGGGAGATAACTTGGGATTCTTTTTTTTAAGACACCATCGAATGGAACCTTTTTCCTTACTTAGAGGCAAATAACACTAGAAGCAGATGCGTTAACATTCTCACCCATGGCAGACTGAAAAGAAGACTGAATTTCTAAGGAGAAGTTATCAAGCATAAAAGCTACTTGTAATTTAACGTCTTAATGAATTTAAGGAAAAAAATTAGGCCATATAATCATTAAAGGTGGCATTCAGTAAAATTATAATTGCTAAACCATTCCAGGGCGCGATGACCAGGACACCGTAGCCAAAAAGATACTTGATAAAATATCCAGTTTCCTGACTCCAAAGAAAGTAGTGGTGCCCCGCGGACCGGCAGGTCCCGGTGGCCCCTCTGTAAGAGGACCGGCAGGGCCAAGGGGAACATCAAGGGGGGCAACAACTACCTACGTGACCCCCAATCTGGATTTCCTTTATGTTCTGGACAGCAGCGGTAGTATTGGGTCTGAGCATTTTGACAAGGCGAAGAAAGGGGTACAGGTAAGCTATAGTTCGGTATATAAATAAATAAACGTATTAATTAATTAATTGATAAACTGTTAAATAATTTTAAAAAAATTAAACACTTCAATTTTATCTATGCGAGAACATCATTGAAAATCAATACTAGGTTAACGTGGAATTAGAATTTTTCCACCAAAAGATACTATGAATGAATAAGATGTATGAAATTTGCACATCGAACATCACAACGAAAACTACGGAATTACATTTGTCAGTGTCCACATTTTGAAGGGAATTTCAGTAAAATTAATATTAAATGTCGGTTTCCCTTTAAGAATAACAGCGATCCGACTTGTGATCGAGAATTTTTTGTGCTATTTATAGAACTTCGGTGAAATTCGGGGTAACTTCGGTAAACCTATACATTCGCCCTTTCGAACCAAGGTGTCTGTATCTGATATATGCATCACCTACATGTACACTGCGACTGTACATTTAGAAAGTAAACCAAACATTAAAAAATTATCAGCCCTTATTGTCTTTTAAACTTTTTTTCAAAACACAGGCACAAGTGGATGTGATTGATCTAAAATCGAAAATTTCTCCATCGGGAACCCACGTTGGACTGATAGAATTTTCATCTCCGGCCAAAACTCATGTGGAGTTCACTCTACGCCAATATACTAGTGCAGCGGCCATCAAAGCAGCAGTCGGGAAAATTAACTACGACGATGGTAAGGCACTAAATTTCCGCTTTAAATACGGTATCTTTAAAACAAAACGCTGAGGGCGAATTTTCTCAAATAAACAGTCCCTAAAAAAGATGAATTGTTAAAATGAAATTTCAAACTAAAATACCAATGTCAACATTTCTGCGGTTTACATTCTAATATGATGTAAAATGTGCAACAAGGTTCAAATAATACTCAAAATAAGATGATGAAAATTTGAATGGTAATTTGTGGAAAAACAGTTGCAAAGTGATCATTGTCTTAAATTAGATGTACATTTTTTTCCAAATCTAATTTGTATCCGTTTTATATTAGGCCGTTCAACAGCCACGGCTGATGCACTGAGATTGGCCAAGAAACATTTTGATCAATATGGAGTGAGGGAAAATGTGAAAGTAGCGTGGGTCATTACTGACGGTCAGTCAAACAGAGGCGGGAATCCAAAAATCCCAGCAGACGAGCTGAAGAAGAATGGTAAGTGGTTAATACACTATCAACGCGCAGAATGACATTCACAAAAGAATAGTAGTAGCTTGAGAAGTAATTATTAACTGGGACAGGTGTGTCATTTTCACTAAACACAATTTTACTGATCTCGCGAGACTTAAGAATTTTCTAGAAAAGTGATCCTCGTTTTCTTTATATTGAGAACCTTTAATTGGGACAACATCTTGACACTGATGCACATATCTTTGACTTGATATTTGTTGGAAATCTAAGGCTCTATTCCCATAGATTTTAGATCGATCTATCCCCGCGGGGAGTCTCACTAGATCACTTTCAGATAATCCGACTTAAATGTCCGTCCCGCCTACTACAAGCAGGAAGGGGGTAATTAACTTTCGTGTCCGCCCGGCTGACAGCTATTTAGCGTGAACCCCCAGGGAGTGAGGTCGATCTAAAGTAGGTCGATCTAATCTATGGAAATGGGGTGTAAAACGTCTATTACCCATACTGTTTTACACCTTTCTTCAACGCTTCAAATATGATTCTCTAAAACATTTTACTGTGACCGCATTCAGATTCACACATAGTACTACCTGGGTTGGTCCAACTTTGAGGGGGATTCTCGCTATTAAAGTGCAGTTAGTGGAATCAGCTTAATTGTCTGACGCGCCTCCTCCAGCAGTTAGGGGGTACATGTAATCAGCTATCGTGTGCTGATTAAGCTGATTCCACTGATTGAAATTTAGCAGGAATGTGTGAATCTGACCGCACCCTACATCGAAAAAAATAATAAAATAGAAAAATTAAAGTCTAAAATGGGAATAATTTCTATTTTACAAAAGAGGCACAATGCGTTCCTAAACCGGCTTAAGCGCAAACTCGCCTTTGAATTTTAATAATAACACTTAATATTGGAGATTGAAATAAATCTCTTTCTACTTTATTTCAGGTGTAGAAATTTGCGTTGTTGGCATAGGGAACAATATAAACTGGAAGGAAATAAAAGACATTGCAATGTCCGACTGTCACTTCGACGTTGAGTCGTACGAAGCTTTGCTGGGCATCAACGAGAAAACGCTGACAATGGCGAGAGCGGCTGTGGCAGCAAAGGCAAGAGCGATGGCAAGAGCGGCTGCAGCAGCTAAAGCTAGAGCGTTAGCGAGAGGAAGAGCGTTGGCCAAGGCCAGAGCCGCGATGGCGCAAGCTAGAGCAAGGGCGATGGCAGGACGGCACTAGCGTAACTCTACGTGGTGATAAATCAAACTGAAGATAAATCGTCGGAATTAAATTCCAGAAAATGAACTCAGTCTTTTCCTTTTCATAATGATAAAATTTTATCCAGTTGGACTAAATTCATTCAAAGGTTATGTGACAAGATTAATGGTTTAGTTTTGTTTTGTCTTGTCCATTTTCAATGTACAATCGTAGACTGACGTTTAAATAAATAAAATTAAAACATTTAGTTTGAAGAATATAAGAGACACTCTTCACGTCAATAATAAAGCCAGTTTTTAAACATTTTTTTACAAAGCATTTGTATGTTTTTACTTGTCAAAGAGGCTCAGTGATGTCTTCTTTTCAGTGATTGAGGCAACGCTGAATATTTGTTTCCATTTTTTTCAATCGAGCAAGGTGGAACATATTCATTACTGTGGTAAATCGATTGAGACAATGCTTCATTGGTATGATGACAAAGAACGACAGTGTTTCAAAATTGCTAAAAATTCGATACTTATGCAATATGTCCCCACCCCAACTTATACAAACAAGTCTTGGGGCCATACTGTATTAGAGTGCATTCCCAGAGATTTAGATTTAGATCGACCTAACTCCCTGGGGTTCACGCTAAATTGCAGTCAGCCAAGCGCGCGACAGTTAATTACCCCCTTACAGCTTTTAGTAACCGGGACAGACGCTTAAGCCGGCTAAGCTGACAGTAATCTAGTGAGACTCCCCACAGGGATAGATATAAAATCTGTGGGAATGGGGTCTTAGTGTCTCTGTGCTTCCATCGTGGTCGTAGCTGAGCATTTTATTGGGGGGGGGGGGGTTCTCGATGTTAAAATCTGAAATTTTCAATGAGATTTATTCCAAAAGCTGTGCATAACACGTGGTCGTAACAACACTGCAATTCAACAGCTCAAAGAAATCGTTCGCTTAGGGCTGAGATAGACATTTCTAAACATAATTGCACTCACCGCATTTCCGAGTCCATCAGCACTTGCGGGGCGATAGGAAAAATGAGCACCTGCGTAGTAGCCCGAATCCACGTGACCAATGGTCAAGCTCATCAAGACTAGACGTGTCCATGTAATACTGTTCCAAGATGACCGCATAATGATATCCCTTTTCTTTTTCTCCATGAAGATTATCACTCCAAAGACTCGGCAGCCACTTGGAAAACCTTTTCTCTAAATTTTTTCTCAAAATTCCCAAATTAAATCTTGATCTTGCAAGGGTAAAAAAGATAAAATCTCAATTAAAATCTCTTAAGTTTTCTTGCACTGGTGTATTACCGTTTCAGCTTAGTCGTAAGCTTTGCACTAGTCCTATGTCCATCTATGTATGAGTGTATAGGTATGTTTGATCAGCGTAGTGGTTGCGATGATATAGAAAGCCGGTCCGCGGTTATTATATCCCATTACCACAGGGAGCTAGATTCTTCCACCAATCCGAGCGTCTATTCGCAAGAGCAAGGTCGGTCGCTTCACCGGTCGGTCTCTCTTTAACAAATCAACTGCATCGATTGATTCCAAAATTCAACCAGTCGTGGGAGGAATTTTCTTCAACAATGATCTACAATGTCGTTTTGAACGTTGACATGAAGTCGCTGATTGTTGTCCCTTCTGAAAAAAAATGTCCTGACCCCGGAGTGTCTATTTGGAGAGTTTTCAGCCCACGAGACAGAGCCGAGCATCAGAGGCGCTTTATAAGCAGCATGCGCACACCTTGACTTTTAATGATCCAGACAGAATGCAAACTTAATGCCACCGTCCTTATATCGAGGTAGATCGTGTGAAAGGATGGATAACAAAATTTTATGTAACCAATCACCCCTTTTACTCCTCCGTTCTTGCAATAGACGTATACCGCACCTGCAGAACGCTGACAGTGCCGGTTCACGACATTGGATTTTCTGAAAAAAAGAAAAAGAAAAACGATGTAGATGTAACGCGAGACAAAATTAGGGCGTTCATAGATATTGGCGGTTGATTTGAGGGCGTCTCTGTAATTTACAACTAGTTTTTTTTCTACGCCTGAAAAACCAAGAGTCACCGTTACTCTTTTTTAACTGCGTTACAAATACAGTTTGTGAATGAAAAAAAATCGAGACAGTGGAGATTACAACAGAATGTGTGTGGGCATTTAGACAAAAAAAAAACTTAGAATAAAACACTACCCTCTACGACACAGGAAGAGATTGTTGCCTTGTAAGCTCTGTCGGGCGCAGAAATTTGACACCGGAGCAAAAATCAATTCCCAAAAATTATATTCCTTTTTTTATTCTCAGCCTGTTACGCTAAGAGCCATTAATTGCCCATGAAATTTTATGACCCAAAATTCGATGAGACGCGTGGTTTTTAACTTAACAAACACCTTACAAATCTAAAGGTGTTTTCTAAGGCGAGACTGTACATATACATACAATTATGGCGGTGTTAGTTGAAAGCTTTCTCACCTGTAGGGGAGAAAAAAATAGCCGAGCCTGTGGCGTCGCTATCAGTGCGGCAAGTGCAATTTTTCATCGCCATTTGTGGTCTTCTTCAAATACACTCTCAAACAGAGTGCTGAAGTCTAGTTTCTAGTTTCCAGTTTCGTTTTCCACTAATGCCCCATTCCCTGCTTCCGCTGCGCAGGCTGCCTGCGACTGGTAGAAATTATATACTTACTTTAAACGATTTGTGGAGAAAATCAACAGTCCTTCAATATTAGAATTCCTTTTAACAGTATTTCAGATGCCAATTTTTTTCTTGTTCAGTAAATTCTCAGGTTTCACATTGTATATAGCAAGTTTGTATGTAAACAAATAAAATGTAATATTAGAACGGATTAAATATGTGCCTTGGACTTTTAATTGGGACTTATTTGGAAAATCTCTGAAACGTGATCTTTACAATTTCACAAAGGAGACCCGAAACCTTAAAATTTGCTAACACGGCTTACGAACAAGGACAAATGACATAAAACGGGACGGCCAATTTTTCACATTTCTGGAACTTCGGTTTCGTGATGTGGATTTGTAAAAGTAGGCATTTATGCATGAACTTGATATGAAAATCGATCGCCTATTTTTTTACTAGTGTCCCAATGTAAAAATTGGGCAAATCTGATTGGCTGATCTCCATTGTTCGTGTTCAAAACACGTGATATTAGATAGCCGTCTGTCGTCTGCCTTTTATCCCCGTTTTGTGATGCCGAAGCAAATTTCAAAAATTAAACAAAACGTTATGGCATGTAACTTTGTCGTTTATTTGATTCGGCAAAATAAGCTTGACGGCTAGCTTTTGTTCATTGTATCTTGATCAGTGAGCCATCAAAATTTTAGCATTGGTTTTTTTGTGAAATAAAGTTGTATTGCGAAGCCTTCAATCTAGTTTTCAGACATTTATATTTTTTATTACATGAAGTTGAAGTTCTGAATTTTTTTTAATGAAATGATGTCTATCTGTATATTTTGTGTGTGGGTGTGTGTTTTAACTCCTTGCTATAACATATTGCACGAGTGTTCAACCATGCGCAATCTAGATACCAAGTGTGTAATTGTCACATCGATGTGGAGTTTTTCTCTTTCTTTGGCAGGTGGACGCGTTCACATAGGTCAGGGCCTATTCTGGCCTATAGCATGGTTTATTTATAAGGAGGAATGCAGGTTGGATTCTCAAGGCTTTCACACCAGCTAGTGTGAGACGTCTATCATTGTAAATCGTTGATAATTTTTACGAAATTACAATATAGTGTTTAGTTTTAAGATGGAGAATTGAGGGGGGGGGGCTTCTCTGATGAATGAACAAACTAAATAATATACGTAATTATTTTTAAATTCTGCAGTTTATCATTACCAAAAAATGTGAACATAAATGTGTGTTTAAATGAAAATATGTAGCTAAAGTCAAGCAAAAAGAGCATTGATACATTTTTCTTGATAGAGATTAACGTTCTTGTGATACCTAAGTCACTTAGAACCAAATGACCATCTATCTATATATCTAGAGACATATCTGTGAATATCTGCAAAAAATCTATCAGTCGCCCTGGTAGAGGGTAGGTCTCTAGTGCAGCCTGTCACAAAATTGAAAAAGAGACAATTCAACTATCTTGAAAGAGACTTCTAGAGTCCCCTGTGGTCAGAGTACAGGATCCGCAGAGAGGCAGAATTGCGGCAAAAGAAGGCAGAAGTATGGCCAGTGTAGCTAAAAGATTGCCGTGGAGGCATTACGGTCACCATTATCGTTTACGCAGGTATATCTCACTGCCCCAAAACTTACACCAAAAAGTTGACTTTTCCACCTTAAATTTTCAGCAGTTGTTTTATTTTATATCGTTCCAAAAATTGAAAAAGTAACGGCAAAAACTGCCAACAGGATACAATAACAAAAAAAAAAAAAAATGCCAATTAGAACGTGACGTAAAATCACCGCAAATGGGGAAACTAACACACAACAACTTTAATGTACTGTGCGGTTACCTTATAAAAAGACGGTGCTACTCGCCCCGACACGAGAGCACTCAAGATGAAAACGACGAGCATCCAAGCGTTCATCATTTGTGCGACATTAGTCTACAGTGTAGAAGGTAACGTATTTGACTTTGATGCAGCTGGTACGATTCAGTCTTATTCAGACAGATGATATTATGAACTTATATTGATATGTACTTGGCAATCTATTTGGAATTCAGTTTGGGAACCTCTGATTTTTCTTTGGTCACAGTAGAGAAAAATATTGGTTTCAAAGAAAAGAATAATTCATGGGGTGAAGTTCTTTTATGAAACGGGCAACATGTCAGTGTGGTTTCCATGTGCACAATTATATATATATATAGTCAATGCCTTTACTTTGGCATACATGCATATTTCAACTCAAATTTTAAGTTGAGATACACTGGATACTAATTGCTTTTTGAAACTCTTGTCAAAGAATAGGACGGTGCCCTATACATAGTGTAATTGGAATTTTTTAATTGCCAATTGTTACGCCTTCGTGGCCGAGTGCCTTATGAAGGTATTATAAAGAACAATGTACTCACTGGTGTCTCAGAGTCAGAGAGCCAAAAGAGAACTAAAGGTCAAAAGAGACCAAAGAGCCAAGAGCTAAGACAGCTGTTAAAACAGGAATTAAGCTGACAAGGGATTCCCTCTTCCTTTTCTTCTTTTGTAAAGATGCTTATGAATGGCCTTTCTCCATGTGGGCAAAGGGTGTTTGAAACCGTCTATGGAGACATTTTGTAATTTGTAAAGACATTAACTTTTAAAAGCTTGCCCATGAAATCATGATACATTACAGCTTAACGCCATTAAAAGTTTTGATGCTCTCCACACTAAAGAAACTTGAGAAAACAATTAAAGACATATATCACATTAATTTGGTTGATTTGTAGGTGACATTGAGTAAAAATTCTAATTGCTACACCATTGCAGGTCGCGTAGATCAGAATGCCATGGCCAAAAAGATCCTTGACAGGATTGAAAAGTTATCCAACTGTCCCAAAACATTGCAGGTCGCTGAAATATTAAATTGGGTACTAACATGTCCACAAGAAAAAAAAACCCTAACATGTAAAATTAAGTATAAAATAGACCTCCAAATAAGTATTGCTATATACATGTAGTACGTTGCAATTCGGTTGTATACACATCCTATTTACATTAGGCACAAGTGGACATAACTGCCAAAATATTTTTATTCCACGTTTAAACAAGTATCAATAAATTCAGGTGAATAACAGAAGGTTTATATTGCTAATTTCCATGATAATGCTCTGGTGTCAATGAAACCTATAACGGTTCAGCTGCCTTTTCGAACAAGGAAGTAACAATATATGTATGAAATGTGCAGACAATAAATAGAATTATAACAACCGTGGATGAAAAATAACACAAAACAGATTTGATCTTCACATTTCTTCAACTAAACGTGCATGAAATAGTTGACAGATTTTGGCAAATTAAATTTTTTAACAAAAATTACTTAACTTTCAATTTAAAAAAAATCTGTTCTTATTTACACATTATTCCTTATTAATTTATGATAACAGCTCAAGTTTGACAATTACAACACAAACCTACATTGATAAAATATTCTTGGTTAACATATAAGCAGAAAAAAAACAATAGTTCATTGCACTTGGGTACAAAATGTGCTGACAAAGATTCATCTCAATATTTTGCCATCAAAACAGCAAAGTTACTAAAACTATATTTTAATTTATGTTTGTTACATCCACGCTGGTGGCCTAAATTTTGTGAAATATAGCAAATATAGAAATATATAACATATCAGGTGGATGAAAAATCACACCAAACAGATTTGATATTGATAACTTCATATTTCTTCAACTAAAGAGGAATGAAAAAGTTGACAGATTTTGGCAAATTAAATTCTTTCACTAAAATTACTGAAATTTCAATTAAAAAATCTGTTCTTATTCACACAATATTCTTCATTAATTTATGATAACACAACTCAAGTTTGGCAATTAGAACAGAAACCTTCATGGATAAAATATTCTTGCTTTACATAAGTAGAAACAAAACACTAGTTCATTGCACTTGGTGACTAAATGTGCTGACAAAGATTCATCTCAATATTTTGCCATCAACAATAAACAGTTTTAAGTCCACAAAACAGACCATGTTCTTACAATTTTACTGTCTCTGACCAGGCGCCAGTTCCATCATGGAGAAGTGGTTGGTCACTTGCGAGGGCACCTCAGCCAGAACTTGTTTGGCCAGTTCTATTGGGTTCTGAAGGACAGACTGACCATTATGTGAAACCGCTCTCTCATTTTATTTTCAAAATATCTCAAAATAAACTATCAATAACATTAAAAGTATGAAGTAGAAACATACTCACAAATGTAGAAAAATATTATAATCATAACAGTGATCCTATAATATATCTAAATATCAGATCTTACAAGCTTCACCTAAAATATATATTCACTTGCTTCCAACTGTTAGTATAAAACTGAACATTAAACAATGATAATTATTTTTCAAAATTAATAGCTGACTACAGCTACACTACTTATTAGAACAATCACCAACAAAGTAACTAGTTTCCAGCAAAATATAAAAGCAAAATATAACCCGAACTTTGGAAGAAATTCAACTCTTAAATTTGAAAATCGAGAAGCACCAATTTTCACTGACAGTAAAGCACGCAGAAGAAACAGGGGGTTCTCAAGAAACATGTCAGTCTATGTTTTGTGACAGTCATCACCCATTATATATGACTTGATTCACATGGATGGGAGGGGCCTTATATGATGGACATGTCTATCACCTATGTATTGACAGCAGAAGGGGGCGGAACTTCTGGAGCTACGCCTATCATCCTGTAATATTGTACAACTTGCTGAGGAAGCTCGGCCAAGACATTTTTTGCTAGTTCTGCAGGAGGCGCCTGAGAGAAAACCAAAGATACCCAATTAGTAAGCAACATAGAGGAGAAAATCTTTCTCTCTCTCTTTCATTTTCTCAAAATCACATTTTTCTCGAAAGAGGTAGCATGGGACAGTTGAAAGTAAAAAGAAAATCAATAATTTTTTTCAATGGGGCAGTTGAGAAGTAAAAAGAAAATCATTTTACTTTTGAAAGAGCTGAAATGGGATGGTTGAAAAGTGAAAAGAAAATGTGTTTTCTTTCTGGAGAAAAATGACTTACAAGTTTAGAATTAGAGATGCAATAACAGGCTAAAAGATTCCAATTGTAACAATTAAATATTCTGCAAAATGACATATAACACCTTTATCTATAGACAGCTTTTCTTTTTTTTGAAAATCAATTTTTTGATAAGAGTAAAATATCATAAGTCCAAAAGGAAGTAAAAAGGATTTAGAAGATGAAGCAAAAGCCTTTATGTATATGCTGCAAAGGTAATCAAAATATTAACTTTTTTTGAAAACAAAAATCAACTTCAGGCATTCATTAGATATAACAGGCATAGAATAAGTTATTTTTAAAAAAAGAAGACTTACCTGTTGAAACCTCCTGAAAGGCACAAACTGCACAATATCTCTTCGTACAGGCTCCCCACGAGCAGAGCGTAAAACTCCATCATCTCCATCGAGAAAGTTCATAGCGGAGAAATCTGCGGCGCCAACCCCAACGATGATGATTGACATTGGAAGCCCGGATGCGTAGACGATGGCCTCTCGTGTCTGGTCAAGATCAGTGACCACTCCATCAGTGATCAGGAGAAGAACAAAGTAACTCTAAAACGAAGTAAATTTACTGCGTGTACTACATGTTTGTTTCTGAAAATGATTAGTTTCCCCATGTCCGGAAATGTATACCACACAATAAAGGGTCTGAAACTCAGCATTACATAACAGCAGAGATATGTTAAATAATAAAGTGCATAGCAAGTAACCACTGGCCCCATGGGCAAGTTCAGGGATCTTGAGGTCATCATTTTCCAGGAATCGTTAAAACCCAGGGTACTTTACCTTGGCTCCACCCTGCTGGTGTGCTGCTAGGGCAAAGTTGGCCACATGGTAGATCACAGGGGCTATATTGGTGGGACCATATAACTGGACTTGACTGATACAATTCTTGTAAGCCTCTATGATGCCATGGACACCTGAATTATACAAAATGGGTTGTTTTTTTTTTACTAATAGGTAAATTGGCAGAAAATATTGTTAAGGAAAAAAAGAATGACATACCGAGTTATGCAATAGTTTGAAAAGCCCTAAGCTTGCACTTGAGAGTGGCTTTCAAATTCTTTTAAAAACTACAAAAGCAGAGAGGTTTTTCTATCTCCTGGATATGTACCACCAGCTTGGTTAGGCATATTAAAGGAACCAAAACACACAGAGATAGTTAAAAGGTTATTAAGTTTACAGATTTTGGTATGATATAATAACTACCAAACTTTTGAAAATGTAGATCCAACAATCTTGGTAGACATTGTGGTACCAGGACGAAACTAATGTGCTTCCAAAGCAAAGGCTACTGGTACAAAAAGAACTCTTTACCTTTTTCTGTTGCTAGTCACTCACCTGCACAGAAAGGATTCTGGAGGTTGAAATTGAGAGCAAACTCATGGGAGACCTGATATTCTGGAGGAATTTTAGCACCAAATCCTAAAGCTGGAAACATTTTATCACTGAAAAAAACAAACAAATAAACAAAAATAATAATTATAATGAAAGTACATAGCAATGTAAATTACATTCATGCAAAACACTTTTAAACAAATAAAACTTGTACGATTTCTTTAATTAGCACATTAAACATTTATGAAATTAATTGAACAAATTAATATTCTCAAGTAAATTAAGAACTTAAGGAAATTCTTTAAGGACTTACGGCTTTCAAATTTCCCCTATTTGCATTTTTTTCCGAATGTGGATTGTTTTACCATATGTTATTTAAAAAAACTGCACAAACCTATCATAGTCTTGTACCACTGCCCCTACAGTAGAAATAGCCTGCATGTACTCATTGGGCTGGTATGGGTTAATATAGTGAAGAGAGGACGCATTCTTAGGGTCTCCATTTGATGCAGTGAAATCAACTCCAACCTGACAAAGAAATCATCATATAAATATACCATTGCACCAATAGTCTGTTCTTTCTTGCTTAATTTGCTTAATTTACTAGTTTATTTGAAACTAAATTAAGTAAACAAGGCAGCAAAGCTGTCAAATGTACAGACAAAGAACAGAAAATAAAGATGCAAATAAGTGAAAAATTAAATTTTCACAAAAAACTGTTTAACTGCCAGAAAAAGTTACCAAACAGACTGCATTGCCTACTGAAGCTGTATTTTAGTCCCATGTTTCTTTCCTGTAAGTTTGAGAACAGTAAGTGACATGATTTCCCTTAAATGGTCATCATAGGAGCAGTGCCCAAAATAGGGGTTTCTTCAAATTTTGATCCAACATTACATAATGTTTAACAGCATAATGACAATCAAATGTTATTAATAAAATATTAGTAACATGGACATTCAGAAAATGTGACAAGCAAAAGTCTTCAAGATCATGGAACTTTAAAGTCACACCTTGAAAATGCCAATATGTGAAAAATTAAATTTTCACAAAAAACTGTTTAACTGCCAAAAAA